GAGGAGGAGGAGGAGGAGGAGGAGGTGGGTCAGGCCACCAAAGCCAAGGTCCCATCTGTATCGGAGGTGGCAGCATGGGAGGAGGAGGAGGAGGAGGAGGTGGGTCAGGCCACCAGAGCCAAGGCCCCATCTGCATTGGCGGTGGCGGTGGTGGAGGGGGAGGTGGTGGTGGTTCAGGCCACCAGGGTCAAGGGTCCATCTGCATCATTGGGGGAGGTGGCTCGGGCCACCAGAGCCAGGGATCATCCTGGTCTGGAGGAGGTGGCGGTGGTTCATCCAGTTCTGGAGGTCTGTCCATGCAACAGCAGACCCAGCCCATCTCCTGGCCACCGCAGACCAAATACAAGTAGCGTCTGCAGAAGAGACTCTCGGATCAAGACACGCCTCACATTTCTTTCTCTATTAAATTTAAGAATTTGCATTATTCCTTTCTCTTCTTCCTCGGGATTTTCCTGTTCAGCTCTCCAGCTGACCAGAACCTCTGGTGTTGTGTATCGATCACTCCCAGCCAGGGTTGTTCCCCACGTCTGTTGTCTGCTCCAGTTTTCTAGTGCTCACACAAGGCAATAAAACTTGCAGTTCTAGAGAGCTTCAGTGTCTGAGTGGTTGGATTTTGCTTTACACCACGACGTTTGCATTATTTCCACTACCATGTTCTTATTCTGAGCCGATGCTGTTGTAATAAAACTCCAGAGCACAAGTGCGTTGAAAATCCGCCCGTAAAAGAGATGCTGGATTCAACTAAATATTCTTAGATCATCTTTTAATGCCTGTTGCCACTCACGATCCTGACTTGCCCATCAGATAACGTACCACAAAGTTAAACACCGCAGTCCCTCTACCTCATCAAAATGTCATGCAGTGCCCAAGGAAGTTTTGAACGGGTTGGGAGAGAAAGGATGCAAAAACTCTAGTACCAAAGATTACAAGGTGTGAAGCAGAGGCCTTTGCACGTTTATGATGCACGAGTTCTTGGCACTCACAGCGGCACGAGGCAGCTGTGGAAGAGAAATGCGGGGGGTCTCCAAGCTTTACTCCAGCTCTGAACCCCTAATGGAGCCAGTGGCAGGGACTGGGCTTCAGAAATCTCCTTCCAAGGGCTGAGATACTAAGCCTGGAATAACTAGGGATCTCCTCATTCCCACACGAATAAAACACAGCTCCAGGTATGAGTCTTCAGAGGGAGTTTCCCTATGGGAAGCGATTTCTTTGATGTGGTATATTCTGGCAATTAGCAGGGAAAGGAAAATAAGCCTTCTCTGCCTGAACTGTTCTACATGAGGCAGATGACAGATGCCTGGAAGTGTCCCAGAAGAGATAGGAGTGACCCACACCTAGACCGGGCAAAAGGGCTTCACGTTCACGTGTCGCTCTACCCTCTGTCCTCTCCCTCTCGGGGACCCCGGGGTTAAAAACATTCTCGAAATGCATCCGGACAAGGTCCTCCAGCCAGCGTTACAAACTGGAACAGCTGAGTTGTCTGGGATTTTATGATGAAAAATCACGGGATGATCAAACACCAGTGGCTGGGAACTGCACCGACACTGGTTTTTGCCTAACAGAAAGCTTGGGGTCCCACTTCAGGGAGGTGAGAACATCGCTGTTGAACATCCCTTCACCCCAAAAATGGCCCAGGAGCAAGAAAAAAAAAAAAAATTGGAGCCAAGTTTCAGAGGCCCTCAGGGTGAGGGAGGCCGGAGCACAGCGCATCCTCACATCTTGTTGCTTCTTCAGAAACGCCATCTCCAAAACCGGGAGGAATTTGTGCTTTTGGTTAATATCCATCAAGATGCTGACACACAGGGTGGATGCTGGACCTGGTACTCTCTACCTGCAGCACTCCAACTCCTTTCTAAAAGCGGCATCACCCCTCCTCCCAGAGGCAGTGTCTGACCTCTGAACTCTCCAGAGTGGTGCACTCAAACAAAAAATCCTCATCAACGCTTCACTGGTGTCGTGGGGATGTCCCGGCTCACGGGCTTCCTCCACTGCCCCAGCAGCAACAGTCCTACCCAGCGCAGCCCGCTGCGTTCCCCTGGGCATCTCCATAGTCTGTACCACACAATAAACACGAGTGTCCACAGTTCCTTCTGCTGTCAGTCACCACTCCAGCCAGCATCTCTCAGCTCAAGCGGAGGGTCCAAGACGGATTCCCACAATCCTACCTTGGGAGTCAACTGCGGGAGCGGAGCTCACACGTGGGCCCTGCAGCCAGACTGCAGGTAGCCGAGGAAGTGATGCACTAGAGAGGCATTGGTCTGATTCAATGAGTCAGGACAAGTGGGCTGAAGGAGGACAGTTTGTTCAGTAAATAAAGCGATCACCGTTCCTTTGAATGCCTCACTTCCCACTTGGGAAAACCGAAACAGTATAAAAGTTGCCGGGTCTCACAGTGCTTCATTCGCTCAGCTTTGCTCCGTGGTACACGTTGCCAGAGACAAGAAGGGTAAGTCCATTTCTGCCAAAGGGAGTGATTTTTTTTTTTTTCTCTTACTTTCATGCTTGCAAAACATAAATACTTGGGTGAAGTACGTCTGATGGGTGGTGGCTTCAAAGGCAGGAAGGTTGCTGTGATGAATTTAAATTTCCTGGGGATGTCAGCAAAAACAGGATCATCCCACGCTACTGAAAGTCACGTGTTTCCTCAGGACAAAGATGGAGATAGAACAGCTATGGGATAAAGGGCCAATTAAGTTCAAGATTCTGGTAATCTGTTAGCAGAAGGATCTGCGTGTGGCTGGGATTTGCGGAGCACAAAGTGCTGAGAAGGAAGGAAGTTCGTTATTTCTGGAGAATGTCAGTAAACGTCGTTGGGCTGTACACGGGTCCTTCTGGATGGGGGAAAATCTCATGCTGACAGAGGCCACCGCTGAGTAACCAGCATGTTGTTTCTTGCAGGGTCACTGCTCAAAGATGTGCTCCAGACAGACATCCGGAGGATGCCATGAAACATCCTTCCAGTCCAGCGGATGCCACAGTGGGGGCTCCTGCTGCCACGGGGGCAGCTCCTCCGGCTACCAGGAACAGGGCTCCTCCTCCTGGGGGGGCAGCTGGGGTGGGAGCAGTGGGGGCTCTGGCAAGATCATCATCAGCTCTGGCGGTGGAGGAGGCGGCTCCTGCTGCAGTGGGGGCTCCTCAGGCTACGGCATGGGAGGAGGATCCAGCGGTGGCAGTGGCGGATCCGGCCACAAGATCATCATTAGCTCCGGCGGTGGAGGAGGTGGCTCATCTGGATGCTGCGGTGGGGGATCCAGTGTGGGGTCCTCAGGTGGCAAGACCATCATTGGAGGTGGAGGCGGTGGAGGCTCCTCTGGATGGTGCTGTGGAGGATCCTCAGGCATGGGAGGTTCTTCAGGATCAAAGAGCATCATTGGAGGTGGAGGCAGTGGAGGTTCCTCTGGATGGTGCTGTGGAGGGTCCTCAGGCATGGGAGGGGGATCCAGTGGTGGGTCTTCAGGATCAAAGAGCATCATTGGAGGTGGAGGCAGTGGAGGCTCCTCTGGATGGTGCTGTGGAGGGTCCTCAGGCATGGGAGGGGGATCCAGTGGTGGGTCTTCAGGAACCAAGATCATAATCGGAGGTGGAAGTAGTGGAGGCTCCTCTGGAGGGTGTTGTGGAGGATCCTCAGGCATGGGAGGAGGATCCAGTGGTGGTTCTTCAGGATCAAAGAGCATCATTGGAGGTGGAGGCAGTGGAGGTTCCTCTGGATGGTGCTGTGGAGGGTCCTCAGGCATGGGAGGAGGATCCAGTGGTGGGTCTTCAGGATCAAAGAGCATCATTGGAGGTGGAGGCAGTGGAGGTTCCTCTGGGTGGTGCACTGGGGGCTCCTCAGGCTACGGCATGGGAGGAGGATCCAGCGGTGGCAGTGGGGGATCCGGCCACAAGATCATCATTAGGTCCGGCGGTGGAGGAGCTGGCTCATCTGGATGCTGCGGTGGGGGATCCAGTGGGGGGTCCTCAGGTGGAAAGATCATCATTGGCGGTGGAGGGAGCGGGGGGTCCTCTGGCTGCTGCAGTGGAGGATCCAGCGGTGGCAGTGGCGGTTCCTCGGGCCACTCAATCATCATCAGCTCCGGGGGTGGCAGTGGAGGCTCCTACCAGTCCACACAGCAGAAACGCCCCATTGTCATCCCCCATATCACGTCCCACCAGACCAAGCAGACCTGCCACTGGCCCCCCAGCCACCAGAAGTAAGAGCCACAGGCAGCCTTGGCCCTCAGCAGGAACAACCCCGCAGCTGCCATGTCACCTTTTTCCCTCCAGACCTGGCTCTCATTGCGTGTTTCTTCCCAGCATCCTCTCTCCTGTCCTCTTCCCTTGATGCCACATCCCTTTTCTGACGCCTCCAGGGTTAAAAGCCCTGCTACTGGTGTTGGGATGCCTTCACTAAGGCTCTGCTGGTTTTCCAAAGAGCACTTTTTATATCTAATAAATGCAATAATATCTCAAATCTGCCTTTTGTGGGGATTTTGTTTTTTCTTGTATTCTCCTCAAGTTTCTTACGGTCTTGGAAACCAGAAGTCCATCTGATGTTATATTTCACTCCTCTCTCTAAAGACGATGTTGGGTTCAGTAGTGCACTGCTAGATGGCAGCTCTAAAGTCACCCGGTTTATAGCCCCAGGGAGTTTGCACCTTCATCTTCCCCTGGGGATCTGTGACAGAGTAATCGCACGGCTGTAAAATGTCAACAACTGCAGCACCCAACATCCCTTTGACGTCATGGTGGAGCCCTCCCAGATCATGGCTCTAAGTCCTCTGAGGTACCAGCACCCAATGACCATGTCTGTGGAGCATTGAAGTGCTGCTGGGAGACATGACCAAGGCCATCAGGCTCAGTCATAGGATCATAGAATTGTTTGGGTTAGAAGGGACCTTAGAGATCATCTAATTCCAACCCCCTCTGGGAGGACACAAGCAGGGCCACCTTCCCCCAGCCCAGGTTGCCCAAAGCCCTGTCCAACGCGGCCTTGAACCCTTCCAGGGAGGGGGCAGCCCCAGCTTCTCTGGGCAGCCTGTGCCAGGGCCTCACCCCCCTCCCAGGGGAGAATTTCTGCCTTAGATCTCACCTCAATCTCCCCTCTCTCAGGTTAAACCCCTTCCC